TATTATTATTATTATGGTGGAACATGAGGTTTTGAATGGCGGCTTTGCTAGCAATTTTGCCACGCTTCATTAATAAGCTGAGATCAAACATTAGTTTCCTCTTTGATAACCCTTTCCTCAGCATGAAAAAAGCTACTCGAACTATTTTCCAGAACTTTTTTGCCATTACTGGTACATTTTGATCCATTCTCTCTGTATATAAGTAGTATATATCAGGTGCAGACTTCTTTTTGGTTTGTGGATTTTTGTTTCTTCACTTAAGAAGTAAGGAGAGAGAGTTGGTAGAGATGTGAGTTTATGTGGAAGCAATATATGAGAGGTCTATATATAGGAGCCTTCATATAGAGGAAGAGGATGCAGTGAAGTATTCTATATTAATGTTTATGTTAATGTTAAAGTTAGACACGTTTGGGGGCACGGACCACAGATATTAGGAGTTGTATCAATATTTTATTGGTTCAATTATTAAAGGAAGAGGTGTTGATTTTCTAGATCCAGCTTTAGGAGAAGTCTTTTAAGTCATTGTCACTCGTCAAACAAATTCGCCATTTTTTCCTCTCCTTTCACATGGATTAATTGCAAATTTGAGGCCAATTGGTATTTGGAACTCACTTTACCTTTTCCAGTGCTAAACTATCAGTTAAAAGAAATACAGTATTAATTACCTGAACAAAAACGTTAAAGAGAAATTATTTCCGATGGAAAAACATGACCCAGAAACAGGAGTGTCAATGATTCGATTCGACCGGTTATTTTATAAAATTTGTACCATAGAATTACAATGGAATAGAACTCTCTATTTATAGGGAGAGATTGACTTAGCCACCAAGCAATAAACCGTAGAATCTCTCTAAATATAAACATTCACCTTGAATAGAATTCTATTTATAACACTTCCCCTTGAATGTCTATGCAACAGATAATGTGTCTCGTTAAAACCTTAACTAAATAAAACTCAATGGGAAAAAAATTGTAGAAAAGGAAAAAGAGTACACATATCTAACAATACGCTTTTTGGTTGCCTCGTTAAAAACCTTGCAAGGAAAACCCAATGGGAAAAAACCTTGTAAGGGAAAAAGAGTGCAACGCGCAGTAACTCCCCCTGATAAGAGCATCAATTCACATCTTTAAGTATTTGCATTCCAATCTTGTGCACCATCTTCAAAACGATTTTTGGTAGAGACTTGATAAACAAATCAACCATATTAACTTGAATGAATATATTGCATCTTGAAATCATCATTATTGATAGAGATGTAATGTCTTCATAAACTTCCGTAGAATGGCCTTTTCAATATCTCCATAGAGGTATTCTCGCTATCACATTATCATGCTTATAGTTATAGCAAGATACATATGTGCACAAATTACACTTAGGATGTGGTACTTCAAGACCAAGAATTGTATATGCTTTAAGCGACTTAAATCCTTCATGGATTGTCATATAAGTAAAGTCATATAAGCCATATAATAGACTTTAGATGCATATCAAGTTTTTATGTCATGCTAGAAATATAAGATATCGGAAACTGATTGCACATACCATTGACTTTATACTTTCAAGTATTTGAACTACATGTCCAAAACTACATGTCTTTCATATTAAACCAATTTTATTTGAATTGTGTATCGTCTATTTGGCCAATATTTGTATCTGTCTCAACAGCCTTAAGATCCCCATCTATACTTAGCGCTATGATAGATGTCATTGACGAACATTTTATATCGGTTCCAATAATTTTTCATAAAGACATAACATAGAGATCTCTTCATTCATATATTCAGGTACCTGAATCTCTCATGAGATTTTATGAAGTGTTATGTCATGTGATCTTCTAGATCACTTGCCTCCTTATTATGATCAGTTTGATCATTTGCTCATCTTCTTTATCAAGAAGTTTTATTTGAAACCGATTTGTCTATATGCTTTAAGCGTACCATAGACTTTGTCCTTCTAGGACTTAATATGAGCATTTGCAATGAGAATATAGTTACTTTCTTTGGGTCAGCAAATGCGTCTAGCATACTTTGCAATATATTGCAGATGAATTATCTTTTATGAACTTCAAGTTCATATTATTGTATTTGAGGATCTAGATATACAAATGATAATCAATTCCAAGTAACCTTTTCTCAAATGTTTATCATGTCTACCCCTCATGTTAGAAAAACTAACTTGCTTCCTCAACTTTGAGAGCCCATCTTTGTGTGACATGGTGCTAATCAAAATATATACTGCACATCAATAATAATAAGATGGAATTATTTGGTTCCTGACTCCGAACCACTTGTGAGGGGAGAATGTAATATACAAACGGATATAGGTAACTTTGTTCTCATAAGCAATAGTTTAGCTATTAAGTGGAGGCACTCAATAAAT